AAGAGGAGGAAATTTCCAATAAAAAAGTCCTAACTCCCGGAACTCTATCTCCATTATTTATAATTTTGAAAATAGGGCTCCGCGCGGCTGTTATATGCGCGCGCCGCCGTTAAAGAGAGTTCAGCAATAAAAATAATTTTTTTATAACATAAAATGAGATTTCAAAAATTTGAAAAAATTCTAGTATCTTCTTAACACTTGAAAGAATCGAGCCCTGAAGAAAAAAAAGTTTAATCATCATTTTTCAAAAAGCTATTCAATTGTTAACTAACAAATTTTTTCCCAATCTCCATTGGCATAAACAATGGAATGAAAGGTATAAATAATTGGCCTATAAATTTTAAACTTCGTGGGGCCCTTTTGATATATGTACTTTATAAGATCCTGCGGTTAATTTTCATTAAAGTTAATTAATTTGTTAATTATGATTTTTTATAACTATTGAAAAATAATAAAAAATTATAATTAACAAATTATGATTTTTAACAAATTATGATTTTTAACAGGTTAAAAAACCTGCACCAAAATCCTTCAAAAACATTTTTCTAGAGGTGATTCCGAATCGAATCATATTTTTAGGACCTTTATCTCTATTTTTCACGTTTTTGAACTTGTTGACTAGACTACTTATCAAGCAACGATATCCGCTGGATCTTTAGCACACTGAGTTTCTCGCCGGATCTTCTCAGTGGGTCTCGATTCCGATCCGCTGGTAGATTCTACGAAACACTGCTCTTGCTAGGGCTAGTGGTAGCAACATCACCAGGGTTACCTATTCGTTTGGCGACGCTGGCATAGCCCTCTAAGGCTTAGGTATGAGAAAAAAATCTCCATCTGAAGATTTTTACCTAAATCAAGAACATGAACACGTCATATTATCATGTGCTATACTTCTCATCTGGCTTGCAGAGGTCACCGTCGACGCCCTAGAAAGGTCCTTGCGTTGGACGCTAATTGAAGTCGTCGTGCCCTAAAAAGGATAAGACGTCCGGTGCATTAATGTTTAGCGATGCAACAGTGTTCGAATCCCGCAGGCGGGTACCAATTTTTGTAATGAAATACATACTGGTAGAGTTAACATTGTTATTTATATTTTGACATTCAACAAGTGTGTTATGCTGACATCTAAGTCGAAATAAATGATTTTGAATTTGAATTGTGAATTTGTATTTGAATACTTAACAAATGTTCACGATTGACTTCCACGGTGAAGGAATAACATCGTGTAATAAAAATTAAACCCGCAAAATTATAATTTGCGTAATTAGTGGTGGTAAGACCTCTTGTGAGTCCGCACGAGTAGGTACCACCACCCTGCATATTTCTGCCGTGAAACAGTAATGCGTTTCGGATTGAAGAGTGGGGAAGCCGTTGTACTATAAAAACTGAAACCTTAGAAGTTAGTGTGGCGACATTTACGTTATAGATGTCTATTCGCTCCGGTTGCCACTTAACAATGGGTGGACCGTGAGCTCGTCCAACCATCAAAGCTATAAAAAAGTGATCATCGTTTTTTTTAAAGGAATTTTATGACCCGGTAACTAAGACCTTTAGGTCAAGTATTATTTTAATTTATATTCTTATTTTTATGAAAAATGATAATATGAAGTGAAATGAAATGAGATGAGATGATATGGTATAAAATATAATCTTAATGTTTAAAAGTACCAAAGATAGAGATCTTGGATCTGCAAAATGTAAAATTAATACAATAAAGCAATGATGCGTGGTTTGTCAGTAGCCAAGGCACTCCCTTAACCCAATTCAATTATTTACTTTTTTTACTTCTTAAAATATAACAGTATAATGTTCTTCTTCCTATTCGTACACTCTTGACAGAGTGGTCGTGATCATGCATCAGTCGGATCCTGCGATACCGATGCTCTCGCGATGCGACGCCATGTGGCACGATGTTTCGCAGAGTGAGAGCAAACATTTATGTTGGAGTGAGTAACAGATTTGTAATGTAATAATGTAGTCTAGTCCAATAAACCAATCAACTTGCTATAAATATAGTGTAGATTACAGTTAACTGCTTTAATTACTTGAGTGATAAATAAACAGAACGAAAACCGTGTAAATCGCGTAAACTATAATCCGAACAAGCCTAATCTTCGAGATTCGATTTGTAAACAACGAACTCAATAATTGAGGTTATAAATTCCTGTTCGAGATATTTCTAATTAGTTGTATTGTGAGTGAAATTGATTGTTAGCGACGTGGTTATTGCTTCTATTTTAGGTGACTACGAAACGAATTGCCTAGAATATTACGTTCCTTCGTTGAAGAGGCTCTAAAGAAATAAGTATTTTGTTGTTATTTTTGGTGGTACGTTTAAGGGTATGAAGGAAACGGAGTCATTCCATTCAAACGTGAATGTCGCCATCTTGAATTTTTATCACAATTTACATAAGAGTAACGGTTTTCCTGGTCTTCAAACTGGTACTGATTTGCGATCGAAATAAACAGAACTATGAGATCGATTTGTTCATCTACATAACTGCGATCGGACAATGTGATGACTAAACGCCTACATTCTAATTTATGTACAGGTGGTTATGAAGCGAGAACTTCTTTCTTAAAAGAACATCATCAACCACAAAGCTTCTCTATTTCATGCCAAAAACATTTTCAAACGAATAAGAATAAAATTACATGTGAAATCTTCTGTAAATGGAAAATAATACCCTATCTAACAATAGCTTCTACGCTCTTGAATAAACCGCTATGTATTCAGTGGTACTAAGTCAGATTATGTAGGTAACGTTAATAGTTTAGAGGTCCACACTGTTAGCAACCTATAGACAAGTATTTCAAGCATATGTTTCTGATAACGATAATAAATAAATAAACATGGAATTACTTATTTTTAACTAAGAAATTTCTAGAATAAAAACACGCCGGAGAACAATACTGTAATAATCTTAACAGAAATTTCCAGGAATAACACCCGCTCTTAAATCACGGATGGAAAAATCTATATCTATGTTCAGCTTCATATTCATTACAAACTAACCCGTGTTTAGAAACATTCGGTCAGCAGTCAAAATCACAAACACCTCGAGATTTGCTTTTAAGGGAATTCATATAGAGTCTCTTCTTTATTTCGCTGTAAAGTCGTGTTTTATGTAATTAACACCACAGTTGGAACAATATAAATGTTATTGTTGTAGCGGCATAAACAATTCTAAGTAATTATTATATTAGTTATTTAACACATTATAAATTATTTTTTACGTTTTAAATATTTGGCGGTAAAAAAAGGTCCCGTGTCACAGACTATATTCTTTTTCCCACATCTCATGCTTTCCGGCTTACGCATCATAAAAATGTACGTTCATAAACGCCACACTTTCATTTTGTACCTCACATTTCTTCTTTTGTCCTATCGACATTTTAAAAAGAAAACGACTAATTTTTCTATTTATTTTTTGAAACACTAAATTTTTAACATTTTACAAAATCATTTGACAAACAGAGGACACGAGTGGTCCTGAACTATTTAGTTCTGACCTATTAATGTCTAGTTAGCGGACATAAACATAAAGTTAAAATTATAATCTATATATTAATATGTGAAGCAAAAACTTTGTACCCCTTTTTACAAAAATTGCGCGGACGGAGGAGTATGAAATTTCTCACACTTAGGTATAGAGAATATAGAGGAGGAGTGCACAATGCTAATATTTTTTTAAAATAATGCGTAAAATATACTTTAAATCAATAAAGAAAACATTACACAATACCATGTATTTGACACAACACATAGGTACATAAAAATATACTCTTTGTTTACTGTCAATTGGGAAACTTTTGTTATTGTTTCAAGTCTGTGGTCGAATTGAAAATAGATTAATATTGTTTATCTTTCATATTATTGATCTATAGTGCAGTTTTGGCGAATACTGTGATTACATTATCGAATTATAATAGTGTTTGACAATATAACCATAATAATATTTAAACTTATAATTTCAATTAACTATAGTCGAATTTCGACTACTGCGGGGCCATTAGTTTAACTAAATACATGTACTACCTAAATCATAAAAATTTTAATAGACTGATCGGCTTCAGGTTCGTTTCCTTTAAATACACGTATCGTAGACATAGTCCTGTCTTTTTCCACTGGTAGTAGGTCTTATGCGCCCACATGAGTAGAGCCATTCTTCTAACATTGGCAGGCGATGTTCGACTTTTCGCAGAAGGAGGCGGCGGAACGGGAGAGGGCGAGCTCTTCTTCCCTCTCGGCGCCGTGCCGCCGCCGCCGAGCCGGGGGTCGTCGCTGTCGCCGCCGAACATACTGTGGAAAAGCAAGCCGGTCGGCGGTGTATCGCGTTCCGACCCGGCAGGCTGGTTTTGGCCCAGCGGGGTATCCCGGAACACCAGCGGCATCGCCCGGTCGGCCTGGTAGGGCCGCCGTACCGCGGAGACCGACGTCGTTGGTCGTCGACTATCGCCTCGACGACTCGTCGGTCGGGCGTCCTCGGGGTGGCGCCGCGTGTCTGGTTGTAGTGTTGACCGCGGGAACCCCCTACTCTGACTGGGTTCTGACCCCGGACGGAGATCGGACGTCGGGTGTAAGAGTGCAGGGGAGTCGTTTAGTGGGTGGGCCCTAAAATTCCTTGGGCCCGCGGTCTGCTCTCAACACCTTGCAGATCGTCAAGTCCCACATACCCCGCGCGCCTCTTAGGCGCGGGCACCTCGTAGGAGGTTCGGCCCCCGGCTCTATGATAATATATTGGCCGGGAAGTTAGTCATGTCCCGCTCCGGCTTGGAAATTGTAATAATTTAAACACAAATAATTGATATTTCCATTTCATATTCTAAGATCGGTGATGAAATTCACATTATGATGCCTATGGGCTCCCGTCACCATATAACTTGAATAACCGTCTGCAAGTTCCAGTAGAATCCCCGGAGATGTTCCGAAGACTCAAATCAAGAATCAGACTAATAAATAATTAAATTGCATACATATGGGTAAAAAAAAACGCAAGTTGTAAAACACGTAACTTTACTCAATACCATGGCACCACAACAAGGCACTTCGCTAATCACGACTGACAAATGTATACAAGAAACAATGCTACAGAGAATTCACTCACACCCTGTATGCGCCGCCGGGGCACGTCCGACAACCCGGGACACACCCTGTAGCATTGTCACTCACAAACCCGAGCCAAACATATTTCGTTGTAAACAACTTCTATAAGACTAAACAATAAATACTATTTTAAAAGTGAATAAAAACTTCACCTCGTGTATTAATAATCAATTAGTTATTTACAAAATAATTAAATTAAATCACATGATATTAAAATAATCAACGAACATATCTTTACGAATTAATATTTAATATGTATACAAATTATTATAATATTTATAAATAGTCTCAATTTATAAAGTTATGTTTTCCTTTGAATCAATGTAAAAAAAAACAAATTGTTTTTACAAGCTTTTTCAAAGGAATCTTCCTTAGGGCTTTATAACTGTTAAGTATAAAAGCACCCGGCAGGTCGTGCCTGACTAATGGCGGCTGAAAGTTCTAAAAGGTCTGGTGACTTCATAACGGAGGGTGCCCAAGAATTTAAAAATAATTTACTTATAGTCCACGTCCGGGTAGGACGACCGCACATAGAATAATTTGTACAAATTTCCACGAAAAATGGTAGAAACAGATGCTTGAATGCTTCGGTAGCAGTCATTTTGTTTAAAAATATTATTGACCAACAAACGCACTGGCGTGCACCACAGAACTACTAATTATTAGGACGCACACTGACGCGCCCGTCGGTCGCGCAAAACTCAAGCGCCCACGATTTTGTGCAGGATATTTTTATTCTTAATTCATAATAACTCTGTCATAGTGAGTGCTTGTCGCTAGAGGCGGCCGGGGTCGACCGGGGACAGTCAGGAGGGGTGGGGGGGCACGCCAGGGACGTTCGTCAACCGACACTAGGGTAACCACAAATTCAATATACGTCTACTTACTTTTACAATGGGTGGTGTTCAAGTTACTGCGGGACGGCGCTGCGTTGGACACCAAATATAATTACAACAACGGATTCAATAACGTGTCTTTGCGCAAATAAATACGTTTTAAAAATAACTTATTTAGCTCACACTTTTTAAGCACAAGAGCTCTTAAAGGCACAGATTTTTGTTTCCTAAAGAAACAACTTTAAGACCTAATATTATGCTGTCTGCGCAGTCCAATAAGTACACCGTCACACCCAAGGAGGGTTCCAACAAATACCAAACATAAAAATTCGTTCGTGTTAAAACGAGACACAGGCGACGGCGCGCGCCGCCCTGTGTGTACTAACTAGCACATCAGTTCATTAAGGCACCATTTTCTAGAAAATAAATTACAACTATTTACATTAAATTAATTTATACATAATGATAATGTTATTTATACAATTTGATTATTGAAGTAAGCCGTTAAGTGAATGTCCTCAGGCGCGCGCGGACGGCGGGTGGTAGGTGATGACGTTGTGCGCGTGCGTGAAGGCGGGCGCGCGCGGGTCGGCGTGCGCGGGCAGCTGCAGCGCGCGGCTGCGGCCCCCCAGCGTGCAGCGCGTGCTGGCGCCGCTCTCCACCTCCACGCACAGCTCGCCGCCAGACAACCTGCCGCGCACACCCGCATTGTGACGTCATCACGACAACACACACGGCTGCCCCTCGTGTGTTTGTCGTGAAACACTTAAGAACTGAAGCGGATTTTTTATTTTATTGTATAAATGGGTGGACCACCTGATGTTAACTAGTTACCGGAGCCCATAGACATCTAGAACGTAAATGCCCTCGCTCACCTTGAGACATGAGTTTTAAGCGGCTGCCCCACCCCTCAAACTGAAACGCATTACTGCTTCACGGTTGAAATAGGCAGGGTGGTGGTACCTACTCGTCCGGACTCACAAGAGGTCCTACCACCATAAAGATGAAGTACAACATACATAAGTATAGTTTGTCTACTGTTACCGGTCGCGCGAGGTACTCACATGCAGTATCTGCTGGCCAGCACGCCCAGCAGCTCGCCGACCAGGTCGTCCCCGGGGGCTTCGAGCGCGGCCACCAGGTCATTCTTGGCGGACGGCACGCACAGCACCACCAGCTGCACGTCCGAGCTCATCACGCGCACGGCCCCCACCTGCACGCGGATCACAGAGTAGTGGTGTTACTGGGTGGCGATCGCTCCACTTACAAGCTCTATGGTCTCTCCTGCCAACTTAAGGTAAAATTCGTAGTGGACAAGTCGAAAGGCGCTTGTCCCCCCCACCCCCACGCCCCGGACTGCACCTTGCCCCCGCGTCGCCCCTGGGGCGGTCCCCAATGTCTGGAGCTTCTTTTTATTATTAAAAGAAAAAAATGAGAGACTACCGTTCGTGTGGGGGCATCCACTAGTACAACTCAAAATTACAACAAATTTTCCTAATGTTTAAACATAAAAATAAAAAAACAAGAATAGGGTAAATTATTCAAAAATGAACCTTACGTCTTTAATATAAGTAGGTTTCTTCAGTGGCTTGAAACTGTTCGAATCCAATTTGTATATCGCCGTGCTAGTGACGAGCAGACATCTCTCGGAGGACTTGTTGTAGCGGTTGAACTTGTGTATGCGGCACGAGAACAGCGGCTTGTCTATCTGGCCGGCCTTCTGCATGCTCGCGATCTGCGCCCGGTACGCCCCTGCGGATAGGCATGTGCTGGTGAACTGGTGGTAGGACCTTTTGTGAGTCCGCGCGGGTAGGTACCATCATCCTTTTTTTTTCGGGCCGGGGCCGAACCTCCTACCGCACCTAAGGGGCGCGCGGGGTATGTGGGACTCAACGATCTGCAGGTGTTGAGAGCAGACTGCGGGCCCAAGGAACTTTAGGGCCCATTCACTAAACGACTCTCCTGCACTCTTACACCCGACGTCCGATCCCCTCCGAGGCCAGAACCCGGATGAAGGTATGAGGTACCACCACCCTGCCTATTTCTGCCGTGAAGCAGTAATGCGTTTCGGTTTGAAAGGTGGGGCAGCCGCTGTAACTATACTTGAGACCTTAGAACTTATATCTCAAGGTGGGTGGCGCATTTANAGGGCCCATCCACTAAACGACTCTCCTGCACTCTTACACCCGACGTCCGATCCCCTCCGAGGCCAGAACCCGGATGAAGGTATGAGGTACCACCACCCTGCCTATTTCTGCCGTGAAGCAGTAATGCGTTTCGGTTTGAAAGGTGGGGCAGCCGCTGTAACTATACTTGAGACCTTAGAACTTATATCTCAAGGTGGGTGGCGCATTTACGTTGTAGATGTCTATGGGCTCCAGTAACCACTTAACATCAGGTGGGTTGTGAGCTCATCCAACCATCTAAGCAATAAAAAAAATAAAAAGAGCAACTCGCGGCTCGCAGGCCACACGTCCCGCGGCTGCACTCACCCGCCTTCTCGTTGTAGTCGGGCGCGGCCAGGTAGTCCCCGCGCCACGGCCGGGCCGCGCCCCAGTGCCGCCGCCGCCCGCGCAGCGCCGCGCCGCAGCACACCTTGAGGCGCAGCTCGGCCCAGCGCTCCCGCGGCACGGCGCGCAGCACGAGGAAGGCGCGCCACCGCCGGTACGCCGCCACCAGCAGCGCGGGGTCCAGGCCGCGCGGCGCGGGGGGCCAGCGCCGGATGACGCCGCGGTGCCGGGACAGCTCCGTCTGCAGCTCCGAGATGTAGCGCCGGTAGCGGTAGCGTCTGGTGAGGGGGCGGGGGTTGTGGAGGAGTTAGCGGATCCGAACACTGCTCTTGTAAGTTTCGCAAGATGATCTTTTGTTTACGAAGTTGCGAACAGGATAGAGACACCGTTCGACTACTCGAATGAAGACACTTTATAAAATGTACCCATTTAAATTTGATTGTGTGAAATTAGATTATTTTCGATAGACTTCTAGATTAGCCATGTTACAACACAACTTACTTCCAAGCGTTGAATATGGTTAGTGCAGCCTTCATCTTCTTGTATCTCCTCCTGGCGATCGCTCCTCGCCACAACTTCTGCAGCAGCACCACGATGGAAGGAATCAGTTCTGCGCGGGCCGCCTCTAGGCTTTGCAGCGTTTTAGCACTCCTAGAATTAGAGTTTCCTTTAAATATTTTTTCATATTCGGGTACAACATATATTTAACCATGTAGGGCCACCATTAATCGGTTTATAGTCTTACCGACATATTCATTTATTGGTATTACTGAACCTATGACTGTATGAGTGTCAGCGCAGGTCCGTCTAAGAACGTTGTGTGTGAGTCAGTGTGATGCCCGGTGGGATTCTCGTCTGGGAAGGAGACGCGAGTCGTTGGACCCTAGGCACGTACTGACCTGATGAAGAGCTTGGTGTGTCCGTAGTGCACGTCGTCCAGGCGCAGGTCCCGCAGCAGCACGGCGGTGGGGGGCCGCGGTGGGGGGCCGCGTGCTGGAGGCGCTACACTGCGCGCACTGACCTGATGAAGAGCTTGGTGTGTCCGTAGTGCACGTCGTCCAGGCGCAGGTCCCGCAGCAGCACGGCGGTGGGGGGCCGCGTGCTGGAGGCGCTACACTGCGCGCACTGACCTGATGAAGAGCTTGGTGTGTCCGTAGTGCACGTCGTCCAGGCGCAGGTCCCGCAGCAGCACGGCGGCGGCGTCCCGGGGCGAGTGTCCGCGGTAGTTGGGCCACGTGTACTGCGACAACATCTTGTAGCGCTGCACGAAGCGGTCGTAGCGCACGCGGCACGCGAACCCCGCCCGCCGCACGCGCACGTTCTCCACCAGCCCCAGGTACGCGGTCTGGTGCTGCACCTGGGGGCACGCATGGATGTACAGGCACACATTCCTTGTGCCAGAAGAGAAAGAATGATTCGAAAGTATTGGTCCGGTATACACCGGTTGCATTCAGGTCTGAACAAAGATATCTAATACTCCGCAGGGGTTCTACGATAGTGCAGCCACGTGGCCGGGAGACCGGAGGGCTCAGTCCCCAAGCACAATTCCCTTAGCGAACTATAACAATATTGCACATCATGCGGTGTTCTTACTGAACTCTGTGTGTAACTCCCACACACTGTTATAATGTAACGGAAGAGCACTAAGCTTCATGGTATCCGTTGGCGGCTACTAGGGTCGCGCGAGTGAGGGGTGCGTTACCAGCAGGGGGTCCCAGGTGGAGGGCGCCTGCAGGGGGTTGGGCTTGAGGCAGCGCACGTAGAAGGGCTCCTTGGAGTGCAGCCCTGCCACCAGCGCCGCCAGCGACGAGCGGAACAGCGACGCGGCGGAGGGGGGGCGCCGGGAGGTCTGCGCACACATCACACGTGTCACATACACTATTGCGGGGTCACGCATCGATTCTATTTATTGTTATTCAATGGCTTTTAGGATCCTTTTTATGTACTGCAACTCATAATCCACTATGCCATAAAACACACTATGCTGCGGTCTGGGGTGGGCCAGCCATTGTACAGCGCGATTGAGACATCGACCTCACGTCCCCAGACGGCGGCGTTCACAGCGAGATATCTGTGTTTTTTACTGGTGGTAGGACCTCTTGTGAGTCCGTGCGGGTGGGTACCACCACCCTGCCTATTTCTGCTGTGAAGCAGTAATGCGTTTCGGTTTGAAGGGTGGGGCAGCCGTTGTGACTATACTGAGACCTTAGAACTATATTTAAAGGTGTGTGGCGCATTTACGTTGTAGATGTCTATGGGCTCCAGTAGCCACTTAACATCAGGTGGGCTGTGAGCTCGTCCACAAATCTAAGCAATAAAAAAAAAAAAAAAAAAATCATCATCGGCTGAGGCTCCAGAACACTTATTCCAGTTGTGACAGGCGCGGGAGGGAACAGAGCGAGGCGGGGGTACCTTCTGTATGTCGGCGGCGCCCTCGGGCCACATGGCGGCCAGCGAGGCGTTGCTGGACGAGTGCAGCAGCCTCTTGAGGTCCTGCCACAGCGAGTCCTTGTTCTTGTCCATGAAGCCGGTGATGGCGTACGTCACGTCGCCGGCGTAGTGCCTGCAACACGACACGCGGTGGGGGTCGAGAATTATAAACCGAAAATTATAATTCTCACAAAATTATAATGGAATAAAAATCAGTTCAGTAATCCGTTCGTTCTGACGTTACATTATTTTTTCCAAAGAGGTCCACACTAAAATGCACTTTATACCTACAAACATAAGACTCACGTTATCCTGAAGTCGACTCCGTGCTTGAGTTTCTTGTCAGTCGGCGCCAGCTGCCGAGACGTGTAGTGGCGGTGGCCGGTCAGCCGCTTGTCCATCGCCTCCAGCAGCTGCTGGTCCGTGATCTGGTGCGAACAGACCACGTTAGCGGACCGTTTTTTTTTTTTTTTATTGCTTAGATGAGTGGACGAGCTCACAGCCCACCTGGTGTTAAGTGGTTACTGGAGCCCATAGACATCTACAACGTAAATGCGCCACCCACCTTGAGATATAAGTTCTAAGGTTTCAATTATAGTTACAACGGCTGCCCCACCCTTCAAACCGAAACGCATTACTGCTTCACGGCAGAAATAGGCAGGGCGGTGGTACCTACCCGTGCGGACTCACAAGAGGTCCTACCACCAGTAATTACGCAAATTATAATTTTGCGGGTTTCATTTTTATTACACGATGTTATTCCTTCACCGTGGAAATCAATCGTGAANGGTGGTACCTACCCGTGCGGACTCACAAGAGGTCCTACCACCAGTAATTACGCAAATTATAATTTTGCGGGTTTCATTTTTATTACACGATGTTATTCCTTCACCGTGGAAATCAATCGTGAACATTTGTTGAGTACGTATTTCATTACCAAAATTGGTACCCGCCCGAGATTCGAACACCGGTGCGTCGCTCAACACGAATGCACCGGACGTCTTATCCGTTAGGCCACGACGACTTCACGTGTCAGCGAAAAGTGCCGGATGTTATTGTATACGGACCGTGTCGGCGAACAGTGTCGCATGTCAGTGTGTGCGTGTAGTCTCGTTCGGACAATGACGACGTAAGGTGTCTGGTGTCAGTGTGTATAGACCGTATCGGCGAACAGTACCGCGTGTCGGCGTGTGCATTTAGTGTCGTCCAGAGTGTTGGCGAACAGTGCTCGATGTCAGTGTGTACGAACCGTATCGTCGATGAGTATCGGCAAACAGTGTCGCAATTCAGTGTAAGCAGATAGTGTCATCCGGACAGTGTCCACGAGCAGTGTCGGCGGTCAGTGTATACGGGCCGTGTCGTGGAGGAGTTTCGGCGGTCAGTGTCATATGTCATTGTCGGGGAACAGTGTCGGATGTCAGTGTGTGCGGATGGTGTCGTTCGGACAGTCTCGGCGGGCAATGTCGGAAACAGTGTCGTCAGACATTGTCGGCGAGCAGCGGCCCTACTGCGCTCACGTGCTGTAGTGACCTGTGTGGGGTTGAGGCAGGCCTCGTCCATGATGGCGATGACACCGTGATGAGGCGCGTCGATGAGCTCGCAGATGATCCTGTTGTTGAAGTACTGCACCGGCGTCCACTGTATGCCCTCGCGCGCGTACTCCTCTTGCTCTTGTTTCAGCACCAGCTCTGAAATTACATTGTGCAGAGACCTTAGCAGACGGTAAGGGGCGTTATCGAGTCGAGTTTGAATTTATTAATCATATTTGTGTCGAGTCTGGCAAGTTAAATCAGAACCACTTCCTTTTATGGCGCGGAGTTGGATCTCCACGTGGTGGTTTAGTTGGTGTGACGATGCATGTCCATGGTGAACACGAGCTGAAGCGACACCCAGGACAGACCCTACTGTAAAGATCAACAGCACAGAGAATTGTTTCATTACGAAAGTCAACTTTATGACATGATTGAGGCGCACACATATTGGTACAGACTCCAAAGGAACTCCTCACTGATTACCAGAATTTTTAATACGCATTCCATTATAATAGATAGCATAATCCAAGCGCCATAATCAAAAGTTTATTTATATAAGGCAACGACCTAAGGCCGGGAAGGTCTGCAGCGGGGGGTCGACAGTTACCGATGAACAGCTGCTGCAACTTCTCGTTGCAGTAGTTGATGCAGAACTGCTCGAAGCTGTTGGTCTCGAAGATCTCGAACCCGTAGATGTCGAGCACGCCGATGAGGGTGTTCTTGTACGTGCCGGCCGGGACGTCGATGGCTTTGTTTATCTGCAAACGGTACATGCAGCCTTATACATTTGATTCACTTTTAAATGTAACACGTTACGGTCCATCCCGTAACCACATTCGTCTCATGAGAATACAAAGATACAATGCTTCGTCCGGTTACGCTGATATGGTCTCTCAAGACCATCAGCTAAGGTATAAAAAAAAACGATACAAGTATTTGAAGTTAAACTTTTTTAGGGACGTTGAAAGTAAAATTTAACTCACGACAGATTTGTTACGGTTAAAGAGAAAAGATACAAATTAGGACAAGCGATAGTGAGAAAGAAAATAGACAGAGGAGAGGACAAAGCGAGCTAGGTCGTTTCTCTTATACACTGCATTCCTTATTACAAGAGAAATTTGATTTAAGGATGAAAAATGACGAAAACCACAATACTATAATACACCGCAACAGAAGATCCACTTCTTCTACGTGCACCAAGTTGCACTCGCACCGTTTTTTATGAATAAATTTACCGTGACATAAAAATATTCTATCAGCACTATGGTATGTTTAGAAATAGTTGGTCTAAGTGTGTTGACAGTGGGGAGTTGTACGGGAAGCGGATACCTGTTGCACGATCCAGGTGAAGAGTCTGTCGTAGGCCGCCTTGGCCAGCGCCAGCCTGGTGTAGTGCGCGTCGACGAGCGAGTGCTGCTTGGTGACCAGGTCGTGCCCGGCGGCCAGCACGCGGCGGCCCAGCACGGCGCGCAGCCCCGCCTCCGCCACGCCCAGCGCACGCACCGCGCCCGCCACCGCGCCCGCCGCCACGGCGCCGCCCTCCTCCCCGCCCTCCCCGCCCTCGAACGTCACCTCGCCCTGCACGCGCAACACTACATCACACGCGGGTTTGGACCCAGGGGTAGCTACCAGTCCATATTTATATACTAAATAAAAAACATTGATTTTAACTTTTAATTCTAGCAATTCAAAAATAACTAACTTAAAATGATTTTAAGCCTAAAAAAACTTAATTGGACGTACATAATGGTTTATAACGTCACAACTATTATAAATAGGGTTGTGCGATAAAGAGATAGCGAAATAGTCCCTCTACATGCCCACCTTTATGACATTTCAAATCAACCAACTTCAATGTTGCCTTTATAAACGTGTTTACAATTCCAATTGATAAAAAGAAACTGATTCTCCAGTCAGCCCTACTGTAGAAAATAATAAAACATAATACGTACCAATAAAATAACACCGGCGACAATATTCCATATATCCTCGATGACCGAATTAGAGAAGCCCAGAGCATTAAACGCACTATTCGTTTGGGAATAAAGTTTAGAATCGTGCGCTGTAGGTCTTTCGCTGCCCAGGATCTTGTAGGCCGTGTTCGTTGACATTCCCAGTTTTTTCAAAACCGGATTGTTTGAACTGAGGAGCTGCAATCCAAAATAAATGAGAATTTTTGAAAATTCAAAACAGTATTGTTTTTGTAAACATTAGATGAGTAAGGCGGTATCATTCGCGTTCTTTATTCGGAAATAATGAAAAACTTTACTTTATGCTGTGACTAAGAGTTGCTTCTTTTAGTCACTCCCCGGTCTGCATATTAGCAGTCGATTTTCAAGTCAACTTTGTAATTCACTCGCGCTTGGCGTTACCTCATCAGCTCAGATAGTCTGCAAGCTGAGACGGAAATGGACTGGACGTGTATACCCCAGAACTGACAATCGCCGGAGAAGACGGTTTCTTGAGTGGAAAACGCGCAACAGCAAACGTAGGACGCCCCCATCTAGGTGGTGTGATGACCTTCGAAGGGTGGCCGGCAAGTAAAGGACGAGAAGAGCCGATAAACCGACTCAGTGGTGTAGATTAGGTTCTCCCAATCCACACCGCTGAGCCCGGTCTTCTGCCTATGTCCAGTAGTGGACGACTGTGGGCTGGTGATGATGATGGAATTTGCTTGAGTGACAGCACTAAAGGGACCAGCAAGAAAAGAGACAAAAATGGTCGTCGCGGACGTGACACAAGTGTTTATGTGATTCTCTATGTAGTATATTCTAATCTAGTATACCTAATATATTCTATATATTGTAAAACTAGTAATTTCAATGCACCTAACAATATTTCAAAAATGGCATTCGCCATTTGAACCTACTTTGTCTTCATCCTCGTCCCGATAATCTGGGCAGAGCGGTCGTGACGTTATGGGCTTAGTGGCCAGTTTCATAAACACAGGAGCAATTCTCTACAAACGTAACTTAGTTATTCCACCTTACAAAAGATCCTGTCCCATGGTCTAACACCCTCTACCTTGCCCTGCTGTAATATCTCGATCTTCAAGGTTTAGTAGATGGTAAAAGAGAACATGTTCAAAAGAACTTCTATAGTAGAAAGAAATACTCAACTTTTTAAACTAACCTGATAAAACGAATGAAAGTTTCTCTCGCCCGGTTGAAGGCTGACCACTCTACTTTTCTCCAAGAGGTAGTTGCTGATGTGTCCGCCGACTGGGTCGCCCTTATAATCGAAATGTATGTCCATGTATTTGCCGAAACGGGACGAATTGTCGTTGCGATTTGTTTTTGCGTTGCCAAATGTTTCGAGTATGGTATTTGACTGTATCAAAACGTTTTTCACTCTGAAAATGAAAAACAAAATTTAAGTTTTAAATCCACTAAGTGATGCACAGAATAAGAACATAGTTAGTCTCGTAACGCACTGCCCGTCATCGCCAAATAAACAAGCGATCTTTATCACGATCTTTTGATGTTGTTAAGTACCATATGCGAACATCATTCCGAATCCGTAAGAATATCTCAAGGTAACTGTGGAAAACGCAAATTGTCACTTGTCATCTCGTCCATAGGCTTAACTGGAATGATGGTAAAGACCCATGTGAACTCAGAATAAGTCCTACCACCATTTAAACCTTCTCCCATAAACAAAGAGATGTAGCCTTTCCGTTCTAAAAGCCCTGCAGATATTTTTTTTTATTGCTTCGATGGGTGGACGAGCTCACGGCCTACCTGGTGTTAAGTGGTTACTGGAGCCCATAGACATCTACAACGTAAATGCCGCCACCCACCTTGAGACATGAGTTCTAAGTCTCAGTTCTTGTAGTACGACGGCTGCCTCACACTTCAAACCGAAACGCATTACTGCTTCACGGCAGAAATAGGCAGGGTGGTGGTGGTACCTACCCGTGGCGGACTCACAAGACGTCCTACCACCACTAAATAATGACTCCATTAGTCTTTTTCGAACCATATCGACTTTCTCCAGTGGCCTTACTTCTTACACCGCCACCACCTACGGCCCACACCTGTCAATATATTCCCTGTGTACTTGTGTTGTGTTCGCAGCGATGTACTTCATTATAAATTTAGATGCCTCCGTTTTTCCTGCACCCGATTCACCCGATATAAGGACGCACGTGTCCCTTCCCTGAAATAAAAGGAGGATTGTGTTAATAGACTAATGTTTGAAGGCAATCTAGTAACTGGTCATGCGCGTGTCTTCCAAAGCAAAACAGTGTAGTATGGAAACTTTGTCAGGGTTTTCTAAAGGGTTTTTCGAGCATGAACGAAAACTAATTATTGCAATAATAAGCATTGAAACCAATCAACTTAGTCACTGTGGTATATTAACCGGTAAAGGTAGATGAGTCATTACTAATCATGCATTTTAGACTACAGCGAAGGAACCTTCGAACTCTTGCGGCAGCGGCAACTATTTTTTGTCGTTAATTACGGAACTTATGCCTACGGAGAGAAGGATGACAAATGCCGGTATTACCAGTTAGATCTCAAATAATTCTTTTAAGCATTTCTATGAGTTTAAGTGTACAATACTAAACACAAATCGATCCAAAGTCCCTTTTAGACCTAAAGTTTCAGAGCGATCTATGGGAATGGGATTATTGACTCTTATACATTATGTCTCATGATTGGGGAAAGCATTCACGGTAAAAAAAGTTTTTTTTTTTAGGCAGACGAGCATAAGGCCCACCTTATCGTGAGCGGTTACCGTCGCCCATGGACTTCAGCAAGACCAGGGGCAGAGGCAAGCCGCTGCCTATAAATTATTACCTGGCTAGTTAGATATAAAATCCTATCACTAACAACTTTGACCAACACGCGCATTTCAAATAATCTGTCGCATACATTATGTTAATCGCCATAATGTACTCGCGTTAATTAGTTCAATCGAACAAATAATTTATTCAAAACGGGAAACGTGTTGGCTCGGAAGCTTTTTTTTTTGCAAAATCAATGCATTTTATTAGATGCAAAAAAAAGCTCCGAAAGCATAAAGCATGTTCGCTGTTCAATTTTACACTACATTCACTCGGTATGGCATTAAAATCTCAATTAAACTGTTACAAAATAATATAGGTTGCTTATCATTTGCAGTCTTCGTGGACTGAAGGATAAGACGACCGGTGCATTCGTTTAGAGTACTGTAGAGCGATGCACCGGTGTTCGAATCCTGCAGGCGGGTACCAATTTTTCTAATGAAATACGTACTCAACAAATATTCGCGATCGACTTCGACGGTGAGAGAATAACGTCGTATAATAAAAATCAAACCCGCATAATTATAATTTGCGTAATTACTGGTGATAGGACCTCTTGTGAGTTCGCGCGGGTAGGTACCACCACCCTACCTATTTCTGCCGTGAAGCAGTAATGCGTTTCGGTTTGAAGGGCGGGGCAGCCGTAACTATACTGAGACCTTAGAACTGGTATTTCAAGGTGGGTGGCGCATTTACGTCGTATATGTCTATGGACTCCAGTAACTAGCTAACACAAGGTGGTCTGTGAGCTCGTCCACCCAACTAAGCAATAAAAAAAAATGTTCAGAAAATTTAAGCTCTTTGTATGCTACTGGTAGTAGGGCATTTTGTGAGTCTACCGGGGTAGGTACCATCACTCTGCCCATTTCAGCTATGGAGCTGTATTACATTCTTTATTCATACTGTTTGAATGATTGGACAGCAGTTATATCGTACAATTCAGACTTCAACTTCATGTCTTAAAATGAATGGCGGCATTCATGTAGTCATGTCACCACATGCCATCACACTTTTAAAAGTGATAACATGATTATACAAGCTCAAACGCGAACCCGTGAGGTCTTCATGTAGGTTAAAAATATCTACATGTATGTGTGAACATCATGTTTTATCATTCTAAGGCCACTCGTGCCCAACAAAGAGTGACATGAGTCGTGAAGGTCATGCAACTGGAGTCAAATCAACTTGAAAATTTTGTTGACTGGGAAAACAGAATCGTGTTTTTTTTATTGCCGCTGTAGGCAGACGAGCATACGGCCCACCTGATGGTAAGTGGTCACCGTCGCTCATGGACGTCAGCAATGCCAGGGGCAGAGGCAAGCCGCTGCCTACCATTCCAACCCACTGTCTCCCATAACACATACACACATAATAAGTCTATACACATAATAAGTCTGTGTGTTTACCTGCTGCCGTAAAACCCTCTGGCAAGCATCAGCAACGGCATAAACATGTGGTGGAACCTCGAACATCTCCCGGCCCCTGTACTGAGCCATGTGTTGGGGCCCATAGATGTCGAGGGTCTTGTAAGGGTTCACAGACACGAGAACCTCGCCGATGTATGTGTAGATTTTATTGTGTTGAAACCTGAGGGGCAAAAAAAATCTTATTTTAATTATGAGCAGAGAAGGTTTAAAAGGTAGTTAAATATGAAAATGCTCGGAATTAAATAAAAATAGCAATTTTGTTTTCCCTTTGATATGTCCCCCGTCGGACGGATGCTTTTTGTTTGTTTTAAGTTTATTTTATACAAAAGTTTAGGTCTTTTATTTATCGATTGAGGTACTACGAAGTCTGCCGAGTCAGCTAGTGGTTAATAAAACATTAGGGCTATCCCCAAGGAACATACAGAATAAAGCACAGAGGGACCCAATAATCTCTACCAAATACCCGTTACATAAAGCTGGTGTCAAATAATAAGCCTTCGCTCTTAATTCGTCACGCTACATTCCGAGCTATTGAAGGCAATGTCTCGGCTCATTAGGTGAACGATAAGAAACAAATCTATTATTACACGTGGATTATTTATCTAAACTATGTTATTGTTTTTGTTACTTGATATTGAGCTCTCGTCTTCATCTACCTACACCAAAAAATTGGTAAAGTTAGAATTTAAATGCAAGAAGTCAACATAAAGCAAACAATATTTCATTTATATCATTTATTGTAACTATACTTGAGACCTTAGAACTTATATCTCAAGGTGGGTGGCACATTTACGTTGTCTACGGGCTCCAGTAATCACTTAACACCAGGTGGGCTGTGAGCTCGTCCGCCCATCTAAGCAATAAATAAATAAAAATTAGATTACATTACTTTTTTTTTCACTGTTAAAATGAAATGATGTTAAATTAATGTTTCTTTTTATGTTTGTCCTCTACTTGTTACGTTCCTAAGACTTTCATTAATTTATAATGTAGCTTGATACAGTGCTCATTGACACGTCGAGGAAGGTTTCTGTCATAAAACCACGGTCCCCTCCACGGTGTCTCCCGAGCGCTATGACATGTCCTTCTTCAAACGAGGCTTGTAAAGAGTACTTAATAGTAGGCAGCGGCTTGACTCTGCCCTTGGCATTGCTGACGGCCATGAGCGATGCTAACAACTCACCATCAGGTGGGCCATATGCTCATTAGCCTACAAGGGTAAATAAATAAAAAAACATTAACGTAAGACGGGGGCGGGGGCATGTGGTAGCCTCATCAAATGTGTCAGCTTTATAATATTAACCTAGTTTCGGTGGTATGGTAGACCATAAAATATGGTGTTCCCTTCTCGAATATTATATTGCCGGTAGGGCGTTTTGTAAGCCCGAATGGGTATGTACCGCCACTCTACTTACAGAGTTAGACCTTCACATCTCAGGTGGGCAGTGCGCTTTTTCACCAAAGAACGTGCTAAAACATACCAAATCGCTTAAAACTTCGTCAAGAAAAGAAAGACCCCTTGATTTTCAAAACATCCATCACAATCGTAAACTATGGCAATATTTTTATGGCCCGTAGGATCGCGTGTCGATTCGTAAGTCTCATCGGGTTATGAGCTCAATGACCCTTGGGCGAACGCTACCTTGGCTCCTCGGAGAATCATAACAAATAATTACCGTAACCGTATATTCAGTCCCTGTGTAGCACACTAAACTTTGTGGAAATTCGAATATATGGACTTTTTAAAACCATGCTTTTTAGAAAACTGTAGATAAATTAGCTTTATTTTCCTACCTAGCTGAGAGCCTTGAGAGGCTATTTCAGCGTAACCTTAACTAGTAAGTGAGCTCACGGGGCTCAAACCTGACGACGTTGCTAACACGAACCCTAGCATGAGCCGTGCTTCGCAGAATCTACCACCGGATCGGAAACGCGATCCACTGAGAAGACCCGGCGAGAAACTCAGTGGGCTGTGTCTGAGGGTTAATTTACTCGTCGAGCCCTTCGTCGCAAGCGACGGGTTCGACGAGAACGATGACCGGTGCTTGGGGTACCTAAAAGCACCGTTAGTGGATCGGGAGGATCCGAAATGACGTGTTTGGAGCGACGTTGACTGCTTTCCATTCTGTCCGCAGATCCGGGAATGTAGTTACCGGCGGCCACGATGAGAGGGTTCTCGTGTCGTGCCGCTTTATCGAAGTGGTTATTTTTGCTATTTTCGCAGACTGCACACGTTTCAGCGGACATAAAGACGCTGTGGACTCTTTTGTATTAACGTTTGTAAAAGGGCCCAGGAAACATCGCAGAGAGAAGTTCATTCCAGGGATGGATCGGTTACGTGGCAAAAACTATCTAAATAGAAACGCACTGCGGCTGACCACAGTTCTACTAGGGCTACCTGATGATAAAACGTACCTAGATTGCATATTCGTGGGTCCCTCATCACCCCCACTCATTTAACCTAGAAAAGCAGTCACACACCGTTCCAAAGTTATGATCAGATACCACATCGATGAATTATTGAAGGCAGTTAAAATGAGATCGCAAACGAGTTGCACGTCCAAATAATAATCAGAACAATGATATACCTATCAAAAGGTACATATCCGATTTGAAGTCGCTCGCAAATTTTATTCGCGGCGCAAATCTGAAATATAATAATTGTTTTATAACAATTATTAGCATTTAACTTTCGCAGCTATCTAGAATAAAACATGCACACTATTATTTAACAGGTCCTTACCACTTCCTCTATCTACCGGCTACGCAAAAAAAAAAACGGTGTGTAAAGAAACAGTTTTTTATCTTTCATTGCTCTCTGTGTTTGAAGATAATAAACATTTTCGTTTATAGTTCGTTCAACTTTTCACACGATCAAGGTCAGAACTGTTCAATGCCAGCTTTAAGCATTCCGCTGCTGCTTGCTGTTTTAGCTGAATGTTTTATGCTTTTTATCATCATAATATTTTTTATGTTAGATGAAGTCTGAAAGTGGCACCTGTGACAGAGAAGCTGAGGAGTGCGCGTTTGGGATGGTATGGACATGTGATGAGACGAAATGAAAATGAGGTTGGTAAGAGAGTGTTAACTATGAATGTGGAAGGTTATAGAGGAAGAGGTAGACCTAAGAAGAAATGGATGGATTGTGTGAAAGACGATATGAGTAAGAGGGGAGTGAGCGAAGAAATGGTATATGATAGAAGAGTATGGAAGGAGAAAACATGTTGCGCCGACCCTAGGTTTGGGAGAAGGGCAGGATAATGATGATGATCATCATAATATTTTTTTAGTTTTTTTAAACTATTACTTATTTTTCATTTTTTAGTCAAATTTCAATTTTTTTATTATTTTATTTAAATATTGAGTTGTCTTCGGTCCTTAATAAGTATGCCAAATTTCAAGTTAACCTGACGTTTTGAAGGAGGTCAAAATCATGTTCAAAGATTCCGTTACATACATACTAACATGCATAGTACGTCTGAAGGTAATAAAAGCGTATTATAAACCGGATGAGTGTTAAAAGGATCGGCTTTTAAATACGTCTTGTGACTTTTACGAGACATGTCACAAACAAATTTCGCGACAAGACACATTTTCACTATTTATCTAGTAAAAATTCTTAAAAACAAAAAATTTTGATATCCGTAACAATATTCTTTATTTTTTCATTGCTCTTGTACACATATGAGCATACGATCCACATAATGATAAATTATCGTAGCTCACAGACGTCAGCAAAGCCAGGAAAACAATCAGACCGCTACCTACTGTTGTATTCATTCGTAAATATAATACTAACAAAAACAAAAACATTCCAAACGAAAATTTACGCAACTTTTTTGCATCATCAAAACAAGTCCACGGCGGCCGGTCAGACGCGGCATTACGTCACCCCGTCAAGAGAACACAGCCTGCTTCTAGTTCAAGATTAAAAGCATCCGAGGTCAACCTAACTGGTCTGCATCTGGTTGTAAACCTTTGAATTTAAATTAGATATTCTGTTATGTTGTTAATTAATTTGTAAATCATTTACGAAGACCGCGAATAATAGTATGGGAATGTCAATTAAGAAACGGCTACGCGACTTAGAACCACCTTAGGCTGGTCTCCACTACATCCCATCGTCTACTTCTATACTGATTTGCCCGTCACTTCCTATATTATTGGAAACACGCTGGACCTGTGTATTTTTTTGCCCTTGTAGGCTGACGAGCATACGGCCCACCTGATGGTGAGTGGTTACCGTCGCCCATAGACTTCAGCAATGCCAGGGGCAGAGCCAAGCCGCTGCCTACCGTTATCGCAGACCCTAATATCAAATTCTTTTGAACGATGGCATTCGATTGCATACAATAGACAATTGACTATCGCTCGGGGATTGCGTGACTCAAGTCAACACTGGAAAAAGTTACACCGATGATAATAATAATATTAATAATAATATGAATCATCTGTAGCGTCATGCCTATTTGTCGTAACGCAATGCATATTTTCAACGTTCCACTATCTAGCAGTGAAGTAATAGATTACATTGGATTACTTAAAAACGCGATACGGTTTTTTACCTTTAACTGTATTAGTAGATCTTTGCTCATGGTCAAAGGATTACCGGTATTTTAAGCCGCTCGGGTGTATACCGTTTATAACATTATCCTTTTTATGGCAGTCATGCGTTTCGGTTTCAAGAGCGAATAAATCAGTTACTTAGAATTGAGATTCGTCCTTTTGTCTCAAGCGGGGTGACTACATCCACAATATGATCTCTATAGACCCTGATAGTCGCTTAACAACAAGAGCAGTCAACGAGAGCGTGACTTCGTTCAGCTATGTATAAAATTAATAAGCTGATAATAAATAGGCTTTGCAGTAGCAGTACACACACTATCCTCAATTAGCTTCTCCTTCATCTTACTAGAGAAGGCTCTTAATTTCTTCTTAATTTTTAAGATCACCGGTTGCTTTGTAATCCTTTACGAGTTGGACCACTACCATACTTAATTCTGCTGCGAAGTTTCCTTCTGACCTGGAAGGTGGGTGCTCGCGTAATGCTCTAGATCAGCGGTCGGGGTCGGGTTTTTTTTTTCAAAATTATCATGAGGGCTGAAAAGATGCTGAAAAGAAGCGATTTCGTTTTTTTTTTGTTCTTCGCCATGGGGTAAT